TACTTTATCTTAAGTTCTGAACGACTGCACATTTTAGATGTTTCCAATCGTAGGCTTGTAAAGATTAGATGTGTTTTTACAAGTTGACTATGGATTGATATCAGTTAGAGAACCATTGAAAACCAGCCAAGGAGTACTGGACAGCTGTTTTTGTCCTAGTTCGGGAATCATCAGCAGTATACTTTCACTGGGTTTTGAGCCTAGGATGTTCCAGTTTCAAGGTTAGCTCGTAGACCATTCAGCTAGTGGGACCCGTCCATGAATTTTAACTTCTATGCCTTGTAACTGGAAGATCCTGGGTTCGAAAACCAATGGGTACGTATTGATGATGAGTCTGAAACTAGGATGAAACAGCTGTCCAGTACTTCAGTGCTGGTTTTCAATGGTTCTCTAACTGATATCAGTCCGTGCTCAACCTCGAAAATATGTTAATTTGACATTCTTAATTTTTTTTATTCCTTTATGTTCCTAGTGGAACATTGGGTTTCAAGCTAGAGGCTTGAAGTTTTGGTAGCGGTAGTGTTTATTTTTACAGGATGGGATTGCTAGCCTCATTCCCAACCTCTCCTCTTTACCACCTTTTTATTTCTGACTTAGCGAGATAATGGAGTGCGTCAGTGGCCGGGAATCGAATCCCGGACCATGTGCATGGTCGGCGAGCGTCCTAACCGCTGTGCCGCCAACGCAAGAACTTATTTATTACCGAACTATTACTCTATAATATACCCGTACCCCAATACAGCTTCCGAAATAATTTTCTCATGCCTTTAATGACTATTTTTATTCTAATATTCATAGATTTATATAACTGTGTAGAGCTTGAGGAAGAATTTATCGGAGAAAAGAAGAATAGCAACAGCTCGATCCTTGAACACCTTGTCATCTCTGGACATCGAGCACCCCCACATGAATGCTTCACAGTGTTACACAGAGTCCCTCAATATCGTACAAAGGGACTTCGGATTCGCCATCTGTACATAGCTGAAGCATTAGCTATTCGAGATCTAAAACCGGACCTCTGCATACAAAAGCGATACATACATTCTCTTGCCTTACCATGGCC